CTTCAGTATTTAGTACCAATAAATCCAGTTTTTGACGCGCTTTAGTTTGATATAAAATACATTTGTGATATCATTGATACTTTAGGTTATGGAGGGGGAGGCAAAGGTTATGTGCCACCCTGTACATGCAGTCTCATCTCGAAGATCGACTGTATAAAATACCTGACCAACTTTGATTTCACCAGAGTCAACTTTTATCTGATGACCTAAAGGACACCTGCTACAGGATAAATCTCGACACATTTCAGCTATGTCTGCCATTTCTACGAAAGACAACAAAAAGCAGCGAAGGGAAATCTGCTTCACCGTTGGAGAAAAAGAAAAGAAAGATACTTACGAACAATAATCAGACCAAGGTTGTTTTCTACAAAACGCTCCACTTGTGACTGCAATGAAACCGAATGGGTCTCAGAAGATCTCGGAAGCTTTTCCTTATTTTTTATTCTGCAGAAAATGTCCTGAAAAAATTAATTTATCTATTTATGCAAAAAAGCTCTCGGAATAATTAGTTCATCTGCAGTGCAAAAGTAATTGCCGAAATCGCTGTCTATGGTTCTCCGGTCAGGAACATTGTACAAAGTTCATTCGTTTTCTGATTGAAAGAGCAAAGTCTGAACTTCAAAAAATATAGGAAACTTTGAGGAAGAAAAAGGCACGATACCAAATGTCGCTAAAAAAGCTCTTGCAACGTACTGGTTTTCTTCATTTCTTACTAGAGTGTGTAAACAAATGTTTTCTTGAAAACCAGATAGATGAAAATTAGCCCGTACAAAAACTCTATCGACTTCCCTGCTTTAAGAACTTTCTCAGTAATTGTTTAACGGTAAATAATGCGCATTATAAGTCTTAGTTTTGATAGAAAGCACTACTTTGCCTAGGAAAGATGGAGAAAAAAGAAGAGAAAGATATGGAGAAAAACTCGTTATTCGGGGCTCTAAACATGTTATTAAAGGTTAAAACTAATTTAATTTTGTAGAGAATTGCATACTGTTCCAGAAAATGTGTTTCAGAAAGAGGAGTAAAATTCGTCCAGTATCTGAAAATTATTAATTAAGTCTAATTAGCTGTTTTTTGAAACTAATGAAAAACTTGCAAAGTTCCGATCGAAAAGTGGATTAAAACATAATTTACCGTACCCCATACAGTATATCTACCTACATCGGGTGATACCCGATACATTTTACATGCTTGAACGGAGAACCATGGCTGGAGATTTCGGCAATTACTTTTGCACCGCAGATTAATTAACAAATAACAAAAGTTATATTATACCTTCCGAATTTGTCGGGATGTTGAACCGGTATTTGTCATTAGTACGATGTTATCTTGAACAGGCGATGGAAGATGACTTGTCTGACCACGTGTATGATGATTATGTGCTTTTGACGAATAGACTTGATATCCATCTGAACTTTCTTTTGCTTTCAGTTGAAACTGACAGAGTGGGTACTTTTTTGTTTTCTGAACATTTATATGTAATTGATGTGCCGTATTAAATGTTTCCTTTCGGTAGACACAAACATGTTGATCTTTAATGAAATCTGATAAATCGCTTTTATTGTCGCATAAGAGCACTTTATGCCATATATAGCGTAACATTTTTAAGTTTACAGTTAGAATGAAGTTGAAAATGTTATCACTTCATAATACTGTGCTTTATGCACGTGTTTTCCTTCTCGACTATTCATTATTCCAAGATCTTTTCTGCAGAATAAAAACATAAATAAACTCTTTCGAGATCTTTTCTACAGAAATTCTTAATTGACATTTTCTCGAGATGTTATATGGTTACCCAGTTAGATAAAGTATTATTTCAAGTGTAGAAATCTAATCAACGAGTTTATTAGGTAAAATAAGAACACTTTCGACAAGCTTTACTACCAGTTCCTTCATATGAATAATTGCAATTTTAGACTCAGAAAAAAATCAGCTCGAGCTCTAATATTGTTTGTTAATATCATGAGAGTCTCGCATCATCATTGAACTCCTTCTATCTGGAAAACAAAATTTCATAGTTAACTAGTTTACTCCATTTCTCTTCGACTTTGTTTTTTCGCTATTTATTGGTTGAACATTAGTTATTATGCAGAGAAGATAAACAAGACATATAGGGAAAACAATGTTAAGAAGATTCGAACAAGGTAGGAAAACAAAAAAATACAAAAAACTGTTATTTGTTTCATCATGTAAATACGCACATTTCTCCATTAGCTAATCTGATTTTATAAAAGAACAAGTTTAGTTATTGAAATCCCCGTAGATCGATCACAGTCCATGTTCCAATTACTTGTTGATTAACACCTAATTCTAAACGTTTTCTTATATTACCCATGAGGACATTTTCGATAAATTTATCGCGATAAATGATATTTTTATCCACCCGTCACCCATTTTTCTACTATTATTCATCGCGCACAAAAATTCATCGCGATAAATCATAGCAAATTCTAATAGGGTATATTTATCGACAGGTATCGCGATAAAATAGATTTCTGCCATAAAAACGTTCTATATCGCGATGAATTTGTGTGTCAGCTCAACGCTACAGAAATAAGAAGAAATTAATTTAGGGGTTTTCTTGTAGAGTCCATAACTTTACAGAGAAAGGTCGTGTAAGGAAAGGATAAGAATAATAAAGACGAGATAAAATGATGGACATTTGTCATACGGCAATCAGTACATCAAACGATTTTTACCGCTTCTTTCTTTTTGTTAAAACATTTGTCATTTCACTAGCATTGAGTTGAATAAATGTTTATCACTTGAGCAAACAGTAAAACTAAATATTTTAAAAAAAATATGCATTTTCTATTTTGTTATGCTTTCTTGTATCGATCCAAATCGACTTTTGTTCTCCAAAAAACTTGGAAACGTTCTTTTTCAAATATTTTCCGGTAGTTAATAAAAAGTCGATATATAGAGAGAACAAAAGAATATAGAATAAAAGATAGATTCAACAGTTTTTAATATTTTCAAACATCAATAAGAAGTTATATATGCTTAGTAATCGATTAGTGCAATAATAATTTTTACGGCTTAACTAGATATAATCTTGTCCAGCTTCTAATGTTCTGTTTGGTAAACCTTTTAGCAGATCGTTGGCTTCATTCTCTGTAAAGTCCATTGTTAATAATGCATTTATTTTTCTATTATACGATTTGTCAAATTCTCTATCAATTGTTGTTTCTTTGCTTTGTTGTTCGTTTGCCGTTGGTGTATACTTCTGATTCATAATAGACCAATATTTTCTAGAAATCATACCTTTTGATTTAATTAATTTGACAACTGTTTTACCGACAACCGTTTGACTACTAGTCGGCAGTTGACCAACCCCACCATTTCGTCCGATAGTTACTAACATTGCTCGATTTTTTGCTGCTGTATATTCTCTAAAAGATTTGTTTTGTTGCATGGCTTTAATAACCGACGCAACGTAACTGGCTTGTGCTCCTGCGTAGAATGCCATTTTTGTTTCTTTACTACTAATATCACCAATGGCAAATATATTTTTATAACCGGGAACTTGTAAATGATTATTAACATTTATTCGTCCTTCGGCATTGAAATGTAAACGAAATGCATCTAAACTTCTATTATTAACTTTTGTTCCGGTACAAATAAAAATGAGATCGGATGTTATCGGTGTCTGTTTGTCCGTATTGACAGTGTATTCACCTTCCAAATAGTTCATATCACTTTGTTTATAGTCTTCTAACATTGGTTTTAAATCAATTCTCTCATTGAGTAAAACTTTAACATCTAAAGATTCTAATTGTTCACGTATAGCTTGACAAAATTTTGGATTGAATAGATTTGGATTGATTAGTGCAGTCTGTGAATGAATAAGTGTAACTTGTTTATTTTTAAAATCTTCAGCTATTTCACCAGCCAATTCGCAGCCCACAGGACCTCCACCCACAATTAATATTCGTTGGGCCTTTTCGATTTTTTCTCGTAACTGCTTGTATCTTAAATAGGCTTCAGCACTATTATGATCTGAAACTTTGGCCGGAAAAGCCTAGAAGAGATAAACATCGCATTGAATCAAAGGATGGCAGAAGAGCGGTAACTTACATATGAGCTACCAGTAGCAATAATGAGATAATCAAATGTCATCGGAGTTGAGCTTCCATGAATTAAGATATGCTCTGTTGTGACGGCGGCCACTTCGGCTTGAATAACACATCCTGAACAAAACACATCATCACAATTATGCTTTGATAATTTTCAATGAAATTACATACCATTATTTAATAACTTATCGTATGGTATCATTATTTGACGGGCATATTCATTTTCAACAGATGCGCGTAGAGCCGCGATATTGTGTAAAAAATAAGATTTTCGATCAATTAGAATAACAAAAAAGTGACCAGATTTATCCAACTTTTTTGCAGCTTCGACTCCACCATAGCCACCACCAATTATAATAACCACCGGCTTTTTATCCGTGTTTTGTTGTGAACCAGTGACGCCCATGCTTGACAGAGAGTATGAACTAATGACAAGAACTTATTTCACATAATAATTTTGTCTTTCAGGTCTGTCATGAGAGTTATCTTCTGTTTTTTCTTTATTTATTTTAGTTTACTGTCACTTTCAGCGTTTCTTCATCTCTATGTTTTTTAATTTCTTATTATTTCAGATAAATTCTTCCCTTACAGGTATGACACAGCATAAATGAGTGAAATGTAGTGTTAAAGACATCTCATTTGTATCGAGAATTATTAAACATCACGTAATTGAACACCTTTCTATCTAACAAAAAAATTTATATGGTTTGTTTCCTCTTCATCAGAATTTACGTATGAGTCTCGATTCTACATTCTCTCGTTACTAATACTACAATATACGTTTAAACTGGCGCAGCACTGTTTAGTGGAAGTATTTTCTTACGTACTCACACTGTGTTTTATTTGAAGGATGAATGAAACGGAATTACAATGCCCTTTCGTATAGGTGTATTGACTATAATATTTTTTTTTCAGTTATTGTGACAGTGTTCGATAAATGTTCTTACATATATAGAGTATGTTTCATGTCTTTTAAATATAATTAGTGCAGTAGAGCACAAAAACAAAAAAGAAAGAAAAATATGCTTTATCATCATGTTAATGCTTAAAAAAACGGCTTATATCGTTACTACTATCCATCCCAACATAGTAATCTATCGTTCTTTTCCAGTAGATAGATAGTCTGAAGTGTCCTATATAAAATAAGATCAAGGAAAATTACTTTAAGGACTCAAACTTCACTAGAATGAAAATTGTTAATTTTCGCAGACACAGGGGTTCAATTCTCATTATAACTTGGTAGTATATGCCACCTAATGTGCTCTGTCGAACTGTGTAACAATATGAGTTCTCGCTTTAATTTTGAATTTTTTATAAATCTTTTAAACAGAGGAGGATCAAAATCGCATGATATTCCTAAAAATTTCTTTTCTCAGCAATTACAAGTCTGTTCATCGAAAGCACTTCAAGATATATGCAGCTTGATGTGCTCTACGAAGTTATGAAAAAAACGGGGGTGGTTCTGATAATTCTCTCCGAATGCTGTAGTTTGTTTAATTTATCCAACCAATAAATACAATTAAGATAGATGCAGCCTGCATCTATCTCGGTTTGAACTAGTCTACAGTCAGATTAAAAAGAAAAATATCAGGCCAATCCGAGATTGGACTGAGTTCTCTAGGTCAACTAAGATTGAACTAGGCAAAAGTCAGATTCATTTTACTTCAGGCCAAACTTCGATTAAAGTATAATAATATGTGAGATTTTTTTCTTATTTAACAATGACTAGATTTTAACAAGAAAAACGAAAATTACTTTTCTTGATTTTGACAAGATGCATT